CCCCCCTTATGCATTCCAAATCCATTGCTTTCAAATTATTATTTCCCTCCCCACCTTTGCATTTTTGCCTCCTGCCCCTTCTCCTCTCTGTGTCCTCCTTGCCTCCCACCATGGTGCAGGCTGATCTCTGGTATTCCCCTTCCATGCTGATCTCTGATTCTGATTACGCTAATGGATTTCGTTATGGAGGAAGAGGTGGTGGGCGGGAGGGGAATCCCACAGCTCTGAGGTTGGGATTTTCAAAGGAATTAAGCTTTAATTCCTCCTGAAAGCTGCAGGGAAGGGGTGCGTGGTGTCCTTTTCAAACTCTGCCAACACCCTGCTCTTCCCTCCCTCGCCTTGAATGGGTCCTCTTTGCCTGTATTGCTGTGTCCTTCAAGGGTGGTGGTAGGCAGGGTGATATCGGCTACATGGCTGCAAAGACACCTGTGTGTCTGTGGCCAACATCTTCTGGCTCAGCTCATGGGTGTCTCAGTGCTACTTAGGTGAGCACAGAGCAGCAGGAGAGTTATCGGTTTGGGGTGGAAATGCGGCTGATGCACAACTCCATGAGATTTGTAATGGGCTCCCTCTTTTCTGCGTGCTAGATTCTAGCTCAGAGGAAGAGGAAGAGGAGGATGAAGAGGAAGAGGAGGAAGGAGAGGACTATGGGACAGATGGCACCGACAGGCTTTCATCGCCTGCCCTTGATGAGAGCGGTCTGGGCCTTCTAGCAAGGTTTGCTGCCAGTGCAATGCCCAGCCCCATCGTTCCCCCTCCACTTTCCATCATCCAGCTGGAGGCCAAGCAGAAGGCGAAGAAGAAGGAGGAGCGGCAGAGCCTGATGGGTGAGTTGTGTGGTTAGGGTTAGCGCCATGGGGGCAAGGTAGAAGGTTCAGGAGGTCCTACTGTGCTTCAAGAGAGCAGGTTGTTACCCAGACACTGTCTTGCCCTTTCTTTGCTTTTGGCTGCTTGGTCCTGATGCTGAAGATGGGGGGAATTGCCTGGCAAGAAAACAAGAACCAGTCACGGGTATGGCAGGTTTAGCAGCTGCAGCCATAGCTTCCCTTTGTGGCTTCCTCCAAGTTTCCTCTTTCTCTTCCTCGCGAATCCTGAACAGTCATGCTGCAAAGGCAAGCAATGGGATACTGTGTCCCCTTGGACAGAGTGCTGTAGGCAGTGAAGTGCTGTTACATTTTAGGGAAGGAAGCATGTGCTAAATGCAGCTGATCTGATACCCAAGAGAAGCACAGACACCCAAGCAGAAGAAAAAAACCCTTCAATCAGCCCATCCCATCAGCTTCCTCATAGAAACTGGTCAGCAAGACTTGAAACAAGCATTTCTTCCTCTGCTCATGTGTTTGCAGTGCCAGACCCCGTGTTTCTGTCCCTATCTCTGTCTCAGTTTCAGTGTGTTACACATAATTGGCAGTTTCATTTCTTCTCTTCCCCATGCCCTGCTGCACAAGTGCCCGTTGGTGACATTGTTACTGGTCAGAGAGATCTATATGGGCTCCATTTATAAATTCGCTATTAATATTTATTAAGTGATAATGGAATTTATAGCATGCTTCAGAATGGAAAATGATGTCTTCCTTGGGAGCCCGGCTTGTTTTAGCACTGTTTCCATGCTATATTAGGCTTTTGCCAACTTGTTCGAACAGCCTCTGTTAAGAATTTATTGTCTTGTAACCTGCCCTTCTTGAAACTGGAAGCATCTAGAAATTGTCTCATGCGGCAGTGAGAGAGGAGAAGGGGTGTTGTAATTTCCAGTGGGTTTTTCATTTTGAGCCTTGCCAGCTTTGATTTTGACAGGCTTGCTCTTTTCCTGCTTGTGCTGGGGCTGTCTCAGGGGAAGAGGTTTGGCTAGAAGATGAGAGCAGGTTCCTGCAGACTGAATTTACCCAGGGAAGTGAGCATATTTGAGAGAGAATGACTGAGAGAAGGTGCTCTCCATGCTTGTGCCTCATATGTTTTCATTTACCCACGTGAATGTTGTTCAGTCCCATATGTCCTTTCTAAAGGGTCTTCTGCAAGCAGTGGTTACTACAGCAGGGGCCGTTCGCTGTTGGGCTTGAGAAGAGATTCTGTCAAGCGAGGCCTGATTTCAGACCTTGTTGGTCTGAAGGCAGTCATGCAAATGAGAGTGCAGACCCACAGCAGGTTGGAGGAGGATACAAGAGAGACCTTTGGCTGATGCTCTTTTTGGAGAGGGAGAACCAGGTTCTGCTGATGTTTCTACACATCTTCAGAACTGCTGTGCCATCCCATGAGGCCCAGTGTCCTGGGAAATAAATGGATTTAGAAAATCTGGGCTAAGTCTCTTATTCCAACATAGACTTACTGCATAACCTTGGGCAGGTTTCTTCCTGGCTGTTTGTATCCCTCTGATGGCACAGCACCTGTGCAGCCACAGTGCTTTGCCTACCCTCCTACCCATGTTGCTGGGTGTGTAGGTGCTGCCTCAGTTTCCCTTCTGCCTCTGGAAACATATGATCTTGCTCTCCTATATCAGGTTCTGGGGAACACACTGAAGGTGGTGAACATCTTGGCATTACTACAATATTTCAGGCCTCTGGGTACTGCTGTGCCTGTGATACTGAGCAGAGGCCAATGCGAGGGGATTTCCACTTGCCACAGACAAAAGATCATATACCTCTCTTGAATTCAAGGCAATTACTTGAGCCAATGAAAAGATCCGTGGTGTCTGACGGCCAATGGGAAAAAATAAACTTGAAAACTGGGTTTATTCAATTTGTTAAAGAGATCATACTCCTGAAACGAAGGTGAGACTGGAGAGGACTCCCACCAGGAGGGGAGGAAGGCTCAGCGTGTGGGGTTCGTGCTTTGCTTCAGCTGAGGAATTCCTTTTTGTGGAGGAGCAAATGTTAGACGATATTTTGTCTTATGAGCTTCCCTGCAGGGTTTTGGTTGTGGGAGAAGGGAGAAAATTGAGGCAGAGAACACACTGACCTATACTTTCTGAATGGGTGGACTGTGGTTTGGGGCAGGGGAGACTTATTTTCAGGGAAATCAGTGTTTTATGGGGTGGAAATGCAGATCTGAGGGACATGAGGATTGGAAACCGGAGCACCAAGGGCTCTGTTGAACCGGCACGGCATCTCCCATGGAGCCCAAAAGCTTCCAGCGGGACGTGACCCCTCTTGGCTCAGCCAGGGCTTTGACTGATGGTTAAATCCTTTCCACCTAGGGACGGAGTTCGAATACACTGACTCAGAGAGTGAGATCAAGATCAGGAAGAAGTCGCCTTCAGGGCTGCTGCGGGGAAAGAAGGGGCCACTGGAGGCAAGCAGCATCCCACCAAACCAGGCCCCCAGCAGCCTCGACTCTGGATCTGGGAGTGCTGACAAGGCCAAGCTTGGGTCTGAGAAAGGACGCAAGCTAAAGAAATTCAAGTCCCCCAAGGACCTGAGCTTTGAGTTTGGGCTGGAGGCCAGTGATGATGACCTGTGGAACCGGCGCCGGAGCGAGCGGATCTTCCTCCATGACGCCACCACATCCTCGGCCATTCTGACCCCTGCGGCGCCTGCCAGCTCCACTCCTGTCTCCAAGCCTGGGCGCTGTGGCAAGGGGGCACCCATGAGCCCCAAAAAGGAGGGCAGCAAGGGGAAGGAGAGGAAGGAGCTAAGCAAGGTGAGGAATGCAATGGCAGAATTGATGTGGGACCCTTGGGAGCTGAGGGTGAGGGGCGGGTGATTAACTCAGCGAGGCCAGAGGAGAGTTGTGTCCTGTCCCTGCAGTTGCCCTAGTGCTGTTTGGCTGCCCCTTGTCATCCCTGCCAGCCCCACATATGCCCGGAGGAGCTGTCAGGCTTGGATCTGACTTGCAGGGAGTAAAACTCTGTTGTGTTTGAACAGGGAAGGTTACTTGTGCCACCCTCCGTGTCCCAAATCCATCCTGCTTGGATTGGCCAGAGTGGACAATCCTGCATTAAAACATCTGTGAAATCTCTCTCCCACTCTCTCCATGACCTTATCTGCTTGCTGAGCTGTGGTCCCTATGCTGGCCGTAAAGGCTGTTTGCCTTTTATATGGTGTCTTCTGAGGGCTGTCCCTGGCTGGTGGTGGCAGTGATCTCTCTGTTGCTGGCTCTTCATCTTGGCTGAAAGCTTGGCTCCCTCCGGCTCTGGTTCAGTTCCTCGCAGCATTATGGAGGAGTGCTGATTGTGGGGAGAGTTAGACAAGTTAGTTGTGACATGAGGCCAGCTGGGATCTTCTTGGAGCTCTTTGGGGAAGGTTTGATGGGCAGGAATTGCTCTCCAGGGTAATAAAAAGCTCTTCCCAAAATGTGTGAAGCCTGAAAGCAGAGCTGGGAGATGTAGGACGTGGTGCAGTCAGTGAACTAACTGCTGGCTGAATGTCATCCTACCTGTGCACAGCCTGCTTTGCTCCACCTTTCCGCTC